TAGTGATCGTGCACCTTTATGAGATCGGATCTAGTGATGAAGGTGAGTGAGTTAACGCTAGTGGTGGTGAATTCTCTGGGTCGCAGAAAACCGTAAAATGCGAGATAGATGGCTGTTTTAATAACACGATTGGTATGATCTTCGAATGGTGAGGTGTCTAGTAGATTTGATAGTGCCTGGAATAATAGATCGTGGATGGGTAGTCTAGCAAGTGAGGGTGTAGGAGTGGAGTCTTTGATAACTTTAAGTATAGCTTTTACTTGGTAGGAGGATAGAAAGCGTTGTTTGTTAGGCCAAGAAGTGAGTATGTGGTGCTGAATACCTGTGATATACAATTTAATGGTGTTGTATGACAATGTTAGATGAAGGTGGCAAAAGGAGATGAAAGCAATAATGGTCTCCATGGAAAACTGGTCAACAATATTAAAGTCCAACAAAAATTTATTAAATACATCAAAAGCTCTACCATATGCCTTCCTAGTATTAGCAGAAAGACCGAGCTGTGAGAGTTGCCGCCCATGACATAGCAGCTCTTTTAGTCCCAGACCATTTCCTGCCACTGTGGTACCGGAGTTGGTATTAGGGCAGCTGTTGGAAGGGCTTCCCGGAACTCCTGAAACCGAGACCGTGATAAGTGATCAGCTGCAATATTGAGAAAACCAGGCACATGAAAGCAAGACAAAAGGAAACTGTGTTTAGCGGCCAGCCATGTGAGAGTCCTCATGAACCTCATGATGGCCAAGGAAGAGGAACGTCCCTTATTTACAACATGGCATGTAGCCATGTTGTCTGAGAAGCAACGAACCGTATTCCCAGACCAGCCTGCTCCCCACTTAACTGCTGCCGCTACGATAGGATACAGCTCAAATAGTGCTGAAGTTTCCTTAAACCTGGGGATCTCAGTAATCTCTCCTGGCCATTTACCATACATCCATTTGTTGCCCCAAATAGCGGCAAATCCAGAAGTGGCTGCGGCATCTGTCCAGAGTGATACCGAATTTTCTGACCAAACCGGGATAAAAATGCTTTTCCCGTTCCAGTTTAGCAAAAACTCCTTCCACATACGAAGGTCAGCTGTGGCATGTATGTCTAGTGAAATGCGGGATGCGTCAGTTGGAAACATTGGAAACAGGCTAAGCAACCTGGAAATGAATGCTCTCCCCTGTGGAATAATTTTCATTGCGAAATTCAATGAACCCAGCAGGGATTGCAATTCCTTCCTATTACATGAGCCTCCTCCCAAGTAAAGGTCGATGGCTGCCAGGATGCGTTCGATCTTTTCCCTGGGGAGGCTAGCCTGCATGTTCACGGAGTCAAGTACAACCCCTAAGAAATTGATTATAGTATCGGGACCTTCAGTCTTTGCCGGTGATACCGGAACTCCTAATCGTGTGAACAGTCGTGTGATTGACTGGAGGCTAGTAGGAGGTGCTGAGTTACTTTCTACGGTCAGGAAATCATCCAGGTAATGGATAACTGTGGGGCATTTACAGAGGTTAAGCAGCATCCAACACAGCGTCTCCGCAAATATATCAAAGATCCTGGGGCTGCTTTTTGAACCAAACGTGAGACGAGTGAAAAAGTAATAGGAGCCTTGCCACTTAACCCCATGTAAATGCCATAGGGATGGATGAATGGGGAGTAATTTGAAAGCGTTCACAATATCCGTTTTACATAGCCATGCCCCTACCCCGGCTGCGAGGATGGCTGTGACTGCGTTATCTATGTTAGCATATTGGAGGGAGAATTCTTCAGACGGTATTAATGAATTTAGGCTTGGAGTAGGAGATGCATGGGGGGCTGACAGGTCGAGAATTAGCCTTTGTTTTTGTGAGGATTTGTTAGTGACCAGTCCTATGGGATTAGTTCTCCAAACCGTGAACGGCGGGGAGTCAAAAGGGCCTAACAAGAAACCTTGGTCCATTTCCTTCTGAAGGAGTAAGTTGATAGTGTCGGGTGCTGCTAGGGCTCTCTGTAAGTTTTTACATTCCAGGATCCCTGTAGGCATGTGCACAATACCCGTGTGAAACCCCATCGTAAACCCTGTCACCAAAAAGTCAACGAGATGTTGTGATGGGTGATTACGTAAAAGTTCTTTCAGTAGGGAGACATGAAGAGACGTTTGATACTGCTTAGGGAATAGTTTATTAGGGCACATTGCCTTGGCGTGAGCCCTGAAACAGATTGAACAGACATGCAGAAGTCTGCAGGCACTGTAACCGCAAGAGCGGGTGTTGAAATTGTTACAGACCTGTGACTTGCCCAAGAACACTATATCACGGCCTAGTTTGTCTTTAAACACCCTGCCAGACCTCCCTGTGGGTACCACATTAGCAGGTGAAAAAGCAGCATTCACCTCAGGAGAATTAGGGCATAAATTAGCCGTGTGCGAATTGGATGAGCAAATGGCACAAGCTGGAGTTTTCAGGCCCGCAAAGTGCCGACAAAACAGCTCAGTATCAAGCACACCCCAATCAGCCTGAATATTGAACTGTGCTAGGGTGGCCGACGCCTTTGCGGAAAAAGCACTGGGGTAGTCGTAAAATGACGTATCACCGTACTTGTGCCCCAAATCCACCAGCTTGTGGAGGTAAAGGTCCAATTCTTCCCTCCTATTTGGATATACAGAGCATAGGACGTCCCTGTATATACCGAAGGCCAGTACAAATTCTGGAATGGACAGCTTTTGATTCAGCCTGGGATCTCTGCACTTGAGAACTACTGACACATCCCCATATGCATATGTCTTATTCTCAAGGACATCTTGTGAGGCAATCAAAAGTGATACCAGATTGATATCCTTTCCTTCCAAGATGTCCTTTCTGGTTTTAGCAGGTACCATGTGTGCTGGGTTAATTATATGTGGGTCTTTAGAGCTAGTTGGTAAATTACCCGGTAGAGGGTCCAAGCATACTGCAGCAACTGGGCTCCCTGCAGTAGCAGGCGACCTTTGCTGGCTATCTGCGTCCATTTTGTCCAGTTTGTCCGTAATACGACCCAAAGAGGTCAGGACTGATGACAAAACTGACTGCAGATCTGAGGAATGGTTCCCGCTGGATCCTTCCCCTGCCCCAGAGTTATCAGTCTGGGTATTTAATAGTCTGTACAACTCAGCTTTCCTAGCTGTAGCAGGGAACGGAATATTTCTCTTCCTTAATTCAGCCGTAATTCTTGGAACAGTCCACGCCCTGAGTGATGCAGGGCTTGCGTTGTCGTCACCCCGCGATGGAGTGACCGATCTAGCCGGTGTACTGGCGATGGACACATCTTCCCTTTCTTCAGGAACTTGTGACATGCTACAACATAAAATAGTATGTTATCTGGGGCTACCCAACTGGCTATTGATCACTAAATGCCAAGCGGCGAAGAATTATCAAGCGACGTGACAGATGAGGCCCTACTAGTGGCCAAGCGGCCTTGAGAGGCACTATCTATGATTTGGCGCGTGTGGGATACGTGGCCATTGGCATTATGGCAGGGTGGTGGCCTCTCTGTGACTTGTAAAGGCATAAGACAGAATGGGAGTGACAAGTGAGGCCCTCTCTATGCAACTAAGCGAGGCGGCTAGCTATGAAAGGGCCCGAGGGGATGCCGTACCTCCGAATTGAGGATTGGTGTTGGCCTCGCGGGACCACTAACGTAAGGCGTAGAAGGCCAGAAAAACATACCTAGTGGGTCCTATTTCTTGCCAGTATCTGTATAAACCCTAAAGGTAGGTAGGGAGGGAGAAGTAGTCGAAACGTGACGTACCTGTTGAGTAAGTTGCCAGATAGTATGAGAAGTGTACAGGAGATCTGTCGTAATCTACAAGAGTAATTGACGTTTGTATGGGTAAAAATAAAACGAAATTGTGCCCCTAAATCCCCAGCTAATCTGATACCTACCAGTAGTACTTCACTAGTAGTGAATTTTGCAGAAAGTAGGACACGTGACCCAGGTGAGCTGTAGTAACCTACGAGATTAACATGAGTTCGTAAGGGTTGAAATATGTAGCCCTTGACCCCCTGCTGATCAGATACCTATAAATAATATTCCAACAGTTTAGGTGACTGGGACCTGAATACTACAAAGTGCTAGGATGCTTATACCTAGTAATATAGAAAAATCTTTGAGGAATCTGGTCTGGCGTGACCCATGAAGGTATAATTAAATATAGGAACAGACCTATGTAGAGTGAAACAGTGGTGGGGTAGCGGAACCCAGAGGAATTACTGTAGAACACTGAAAACAAGAGGTCTCTAATCAATAGACCGTTAAGTATGTCATGACAAAATGTCCTTATATTGACACTCATACAATGCATACAACACTGGACTACTGAAACTGTAATCTTACAAATAATTGAGGTCGTAAATATAACCTTTCTGATCAGCAGGGTTGTGCAAGCAACTAAAAGTACTGAAAGACTAAGGTCTTCTTAGTGCATATCATAATTATACCACATAAAAGACTAGAGATTCGGCATACGAAATAGTCATAAGGTGACTGAGTGTAAATGCATTGTTCAACTTAATTAATAAAACATATTTAACGAATTGCCCAACAAACTTTAACCAGCATAAGATATCTTATAATCATAACTGAAATTATCATTTACTTGTACCAACTGCCATAACTTTAATAACCACCAGGGGTCGTGGAATGTATTTTGAGAGAGAAATCAGTGACAATGAACCAGCCACCAGAGGTCGCCCTAGGGCATACAACAAGTTGTAACATAAAAGTGAAGCAGCTTTCGGCAAACGAACGGGCATAATATGAATGTAGCGAATTGCCCTATACGAATTAAAATGTAACATGCTATGCGTATACAAGCAGAAAACCGAACGCCGGTATTCGTATAAATATTTACCGAAGAGTTTCCACGTGTGCGACTGTACAATTAGGATGACGTAAAACGGCCGCGCCGAAATTGCGACGGCCGTAAACTTACGATTTTGCCGGAACGAAAGCGCAGCGAAACGCCCGGCCAGGAAATGAAGCCAGACGGGCGGAACAGGATGGGACAGCACTTGTTGGGACCCAGGAAGCTACCCACGGTGAAACAGGTAAGTAGAATGGCGCCAGAACAACCGTAAGTGACGATCTCTCTACCCACAATTCGCCAGACCCAACAGGTAATGAGGGAAGGGTTGATGCTCCTTAAGAAGGGGAACCAAGCCCCTCCCACAACTTCAGGCCACGCCTTCCATATATATATATATATATATAAAACGGTTGTGTTTGTGGGTCACTTTGAAAAGTCTTGAGTTGCAACAAGTGGCTGCAGGACACTGGTAAATCCACATTTTATATGAAACAATGAGATAAATTATAGAATCATTTAACATAAGCTTAAGAAGTAGCAGGCTTTCGTTTTCAGAAGTCATAAATATAAATGATTGATACATAGAGGGGATAAATATATACATAATATAAAAAATAATGGTGATTTGTTTCTCATGTAACTCTAGTAATATAATAGCAGTTGTTTTGTTGTTTTATATAGAAGAATGCTAATTATCTAATAGAATCTAGTCTATGGCATCTTTCTCAGGAAATAGAGTAATTGGGGGTTATGTATACAAAAAAGTTCTCAATGAGTTGTAGTCGATGTAAATAAATTGAACATCCTTGCTGATTCTTCTGCTTTAAGAACTTTGTTCCAGAATAATACTTTATCCAATACACCACACCCACTATGTGGACCTGACTGTGTGTTTAGATTCTCTGAGCCAGTTTCTTTGACTCATGGAACAAGTATTGAAAGAAATGTATCAGTATTATGTATCAATGCGCAAACTATTGTGAATGTTAAACTTTTGGCCACAATAGCCAAACCGAAAACACAGCTGTCTAGAATATTTCTAGTTCTGCTTTTAAATTTTAAATTCATAAATTGACGACTAATTATTCTTTAGTGGATAACCTTGTGCCAGAAGTATGAGTAATGTATCCTCCTCACTCTTAAACACACAGAGTGAGAGTCATCATAATTTAAGTCATTCATCTAATTCTAGATTCTAAACCTTATTTAACTGCTGTGCACATCCAGCTATAGCCAGGATAATCACATTCAATAAATACCAGTGTATACGCTAATCAGCCACAACATTAAAACCATTGACGGTTGAAGTGACATAACATTAATTATATCATTACAATCGCACCTGTCAATGCATGGGCTATATCAGGCAACAGTTCTTGAATTTCATGTGTTGGATGCATGAAAAATGGGCAAGTGAAAAGTTCTGTGTGACTTTGACAAGAGCAAAATAGTGATGACTAGATGACTGGGTCAAAACATCTCCAAAACGGCAAGTCTTGTGGTGTGTTCCTAGTATGCAGTGGTTAGTACCTACCAAAAGTGGTGCAAGGAAGGACAACCAGTGTCACAGTAATGGGAACGCAATGCTCATTGATGCACTTGGGGAGCGAAGATTAGCCTGTCTGGTTTGAACACACAGAAGAGATACTGTTCGTAAAATTGCTAAAAATCATAATGCTAGCCATGATAGAAAAGTGTCATGCAGTTTGCTACATATGGGGCCGCATAGCCGCAGAATGGTCATAGTGCCCATGATGACCACTTCCCACCGCTGAAAGAACTTTCAATGGGGACGAGAGCATCAGAACTGTGCCATGGAACAATGGAAGAAGGTTGACTAGTCTGATTTTATTTAAAATCAATCGTATGGCCTGTGCTTACGCATTGTTTACCTTTGAAAGAGATGGCAACTGAATGCACTATAAAAAGAAGGCAGTGCGGTAGAGGCCTGGGCATTGTTCTGCTGGGAAACCTCTGGTTGTCCAGAATGTTATTTTGACACATGCCACCTACCTAGAGATTCATGGCAATGGTATTCCCTGATTGAAGCGACCTCTTTCAACAGAATAATGCAAGCTGCCATAATGAAAAAAATGTCCAGGAATGGTCTGAGGAACATTGTTCAAGGTTCAAGGTGTTCCCGTACTTTAAGTTCCCCAGAGGTCAACCTGATATAGAATCTGTAAGATGTGCTGGAACAACAAATCTGATCCATAGAGGCCCCACCTCGCAACCTGCAGGACTTAAAATACCTGCTGCTAATACCTTGGTGCCACATACTATAGGACACGTTCAGAGGTTTTCTAGAGTCTATGCCTTGATGAATCAGAGCTGTTTTGGCCGCACGAGGGGGATATACATGTTGTTAGTCAGGCAGGTGGCTTTAATGTTGTGGCTGATCAGTGTATGTTCTATTATTCTATTATCTATAATAATGATTTTTATTTCTGTGGGACATGACTTGAGTGGTGTAAACGAACAAAAAACTTCCACTTTCAGCAAAATGCAGTTCATCTTTAAAACTTGTTGAGCCTCACAGGAAAGATAGTTCACAGACATTTGGGGTGCAAACTGTAATAGATTGTACCTGCCTAGTGCTATGATTTAACATGGAATGCAAAGAATTCCAGGTGATGTAGTTAAAGGTTTACTCCAAACCACAGGACCTAACTGCGGCACCCATGAATTGCTGGTGGACAGGGTGAAAGGGGCCAGGTCAGAAAAGTTAATCATGCCGCTTCCAGAATAGTGCCGGATCTGCATTAATTACAGGCAGATAAGCCTGGCATGAATGCTTGCCAGATCACATGCCAATTAATCAGGCAAGCCCACTGTGGGCATATCTTGTTGGAAGCACTGTTTCAATACTCTCTGAATGGTCCTAGTACCCTTAGCGTAGCATGAGTGCGTTATTAGACTTTTTGGAAACAGTTCTCTGGTGTCTCCAAAAGCCGGCTAGAGGGAACAAACCCAGGATGGCGGGACAGGACCCTAAAAGTCAATAAGTCCTACCAAAATTGGGATGATTGTGAGGTCTGCTGCAACCACTATGACAACTTTAGCTTTTAAAAGTAATCATGGTGCAAGCTTGAAATGCATTTTGTGCACGGGTGTAATTACACCGCCGGCACATGTGAGTTTGCTTGCCAACTTTGTTCCAGACTGACTAATGTGAGTCCTTTACAAACATTATGCCTGTCTTCAGCATACCGTTTGTGCTGGCGATGACGTAAACAGCTTCTTCTCTTCCAGGCAGTACTGTCAGTGCTCCTGTAAGTAAAAGCATGTTTGGACTGTGTGGGCATGATCTGCATGCACATAGTCCTACTAACAACTAACTTTTAATGTTCCAACGTCCCTCTAGCCAGTCAGCCCCTTGTCCACCCCACCACCCTCTAAACAGACCTTCATTCTTCCACTCCTCAGCGATTGGGATGAGGGTGTGCTTTACCGGTAAGATGAGCTGTCATTCAGTTCATCTTGACACTTATGAAAATAAACACAAGGCACATTCACAGTGTAGCATTCAGTGGACCACAGACACGTAGATGAATGATGCTGTAGGACATGATAGTGGAGAACTTTGCCCAGCGCTGAATTCAAGGTAAGTTGTGATTTTTTTTGCAATTATGTCTAAAAAACAACAACAACAAACAAACAAAAAACGAACGAGTGTCCAATAGGGCATTTGCACTTAAAGGGACACTATAGTCAACAGAACAACTACAGCTTGATGTAGTTGTTCTTGTGTGTATAGCATGTCCTGCAAGCTTTTTAACGTAAACAGTGCCTTTTCAGTGTTTACATGACTGCCTATGTGACAGTCACTCAGGCGGCCACCAGAGTTGCTTCCTGGTTCAGTGCTGCACAACATGCAGCATTGACTTTTCAGGGAAAGAGTATTTACATTGGTGCCAAGGAACACCTCTAGTGGCAGTCACTCAGATGGCACTGTACTGACTTTGAGCGATGATTGCACCTGAAAGAGATGCATTTATTCAATGAGGTGATGTTTGATGCTGGGGGTGACTTTTACACCTTTTTAAAGACAGGAGAACATGGACAGATGTCTAAACAGCGATTTTAAAACTATAGTGTTTTTAATACACATTTGTATGAAAAAAAATGGGTTTGAGTAACCCTTTATAGAACCAACAACTCAGTAGCTTAGTTTGCAAGCTCAAATGTCTGTAACTGTTATTCCTAATCATGCCAGATGTACTGCGCACAACATCAGACCATGTCAAATCTGGTCTTAAAGTGCTTGCATTTTTATATAGAAAGCTGCACATGAAAACCCCAAGGAAAACATACATGACTAGATCTTTGGAGTAATTTTAAAAAAGTACCTACCGGACAACACTAAGACCTTTGTATAAATAAAATTCAGACAGCTATATACGGTAAGCCAGGAGTGGTCTACAACTTCTTTGATGCTTTGTTAGTAGTGCAGCTGTTCAGTGGCTACCTTTTGGCCACCCATGAACCATCCAAAGTATCCCTAAGCACAGGTTACTGCTGGCCCCTCCAGTTTAAAAACTGTTGTTGAAAAAGGGATTATAATTAATACAAGTTCCTTTGTGGCCCTCAGACATGATGGAACATGACTTTCTTTTAGTTTCTGTATGCCTGCTGGCCAGAAGAATCTTTTTATTAAAAAAAAATAAAATTCAGTTCTTTATTTTTGCAGTGCGGGTAGTTACAACCAAGTTTGCGATGCCACCACAGACAATCATTATCATACATATTAGTACATAGGCATGGCATGGAAATACGTTGTACTATTTTTAAAGGAAAATTAAGTAAAGTAGATTAGGCATAAGCTTACACTGAGTGATTTAAACTGCGGATAGATGTCTGGATACGGTGATATTGTTCAAAAGTGATAAAACTAGCTAGGTTCGCCTGTCTGAGTTAAAAATGCTGGTTAACCCCTTAGCGCGGTTACGGCGTTCTATGCCGTCCCGCAAATAAAAGGACTTTAAAGCCGTTGCAGCGACATAGAACGCCGTAGCGGCTTGCAGCCCCTGGAGGTCCGGTTGACTTACCTCCGCCGTGATCCACGCCTGGAGGGCTGCCTGACAGATAATATTTTAAGTAAAAGTGAAGTTTTTTGCATTATTTTACAAACGAACGGCACTTTTATGGACTATATTATTGTTGTAATATGTTTTACTGTTTTAAAACACTAATATTTGTGTTTAGTGAAGTCTCCCAAGAATAACAGTACCCCCCATGTACAGGTTGTATGGTGTTTTGGAAAGTTAGAGAGTCACATATAAGGATTGCATTTCATTTTTTTGACATTGAAATTTGCCAGATTGGTTATGTTGCCTTTGAGAGCGTATGGTAGCCCAGGAATGAGAATTACCCCCATAATGGCATACCATTTGCAAAAGTTGACAACCCAAGGTATTGCAAGCGGGGTATGTCCAGTCTTTCTTAGTAGTCACTTAGTCACAAACACTGGCCAAATATATATTTTTTGCTTTTTTCACACAAAAACAAATATGAATTCTAACTTTGGCCAACTTCCAACCCCATACTCTACAGGTCTGTTGCAGTTGCCCTTGACACCAAGGGACCAGAAATCCGAACCGGTCTTATTAAGGGCAGTGGCACAGCAGAGGTGGAGCTGAAGAAAGGGGGAACCCTCAAGGTGACCCTGGATGATGCCTTCCAAGACAAATGCGATGATAATGTGCTGTGGGTAGACTACAAGAACCTCCCCAAGGTGGTGCAGGCTGGCAGCAAAATCTATATAGATGATGGACTCATTTCCCTGCTGGTTAAGGAAGTTGGCAAACACTGTTTGACAGAAGTGGGAAATGGAGGGTCTCTCGGTTGCAAGAAGGGTGTGAACCTTCCTGGCGCAGCAGTGGATCTGCCTGCTGTTTCTCCCAAAGACATTGAAGACCAGCAATTTGGTGTTGAGCAGGGTGTGGATATGGTATTTGCCTCCTTCATCCGCAAGGCAGCTGATGTGCATGCAGTAAGGAAAGTTCTGGGGGAGAAAGGAAAAAATATCAAGATAATCAGCAAGATTGAAAACCATGAAGGCGTGCGCAGGTTTGATGAGATCCTTGAAGCCAGTGATGGTATCATGGTTGCCCTAAGTGACCTTGGTATTGAGATCCCAGCAGAAAAGGTCCTTCTGGCCCAGAAGATGGCTGTTGCAATCGCGCTGGCAAGCCTATGATCTGTGCCACACAGATGCTGGAGAGCATGATCAAAAAGCCACGTCCAACTCGTGCTGAGGGTAGTGACGTAGCTAATGCTGTGCTGGACAGTGCAGACTTATGCTTTCTGGGGAAACCGCCAAGGGAGACAACCCACTGGAGGCTGTACGAATGCAACATATGATCGCTCGCGAGGCAGCCATTTACCATCGACAGCTGTTTGAGGAGCTGAGGCGTGTGTCCCACAGAAGCAACAGCTGTTGGAGCAGTGGAGGCATCCTTCAAATGCTCCAGCGGAGCCATCATCATTCTCACAAAGTCTGGCAGATCGGCTCACCTGGTATCCCGGTATCGTCCACGGTCTCCTATTATTCATGATATATAATAAGTGTGGGTGCACTTAATGTGACAGCGGTGAATTACGGTTGAACAGACATATAGTGCAAATTCCAGTTTTTGTTTACGTTTTGTTTTGATCAGAACGTGTACTATTGACTCCGTCCTGAAGGGGTTAAGCTAGGATACTTATATTATCTATAAATGTAGTAGCATAATAACAGTGTTAAACCATATAACATGACTTTTGTCGCTTTTCTCCCACTGGGTTAGAGTCCCTGTCAGGAAACTTATCTCGGCTGGCAGCCAGCTCCCACATTAGAAAGTCATCCGTCATACCCTGCCTGGGCACCCATCTTCCATGTGTATATTCCAGAGCCTGCAGCCACCTCCCTGAGTCCAAATTCTCCCCGTCCGGGAAATTGCGGGGAGCTTTTCTGTGTTGGAGTATGTTTCCGCATTTCGTTCCCTTCTGCATGTGTGGTCGGTGCGTTGGGGGTATTTCCCGGGTGGCCCTAGGCCCAGGAAGGCGTAAAGTAGGACGTTGTGCTGTTCGTGCGGTTGTTTTGCCTTTGGGGGGTCTCTCGGGCCTTGTTCCATAGCATGTCCGCTCTCTCACCCATGGTGATTTTGCAGGGGGTGTCCTCTTCATCCGTTCCATGAAGTTGGCCCAAAAACGGTTGAAGGCTGCTTCCAGTCACGCTTCAGTATGTCCAAGTGGGTCAGTGAGATCGGCTTGATGCTGCACCGGGCCCTGTGTCACAGGCGCATCCGCCATCTTGTTTGCCACCGTTCGGCATTCTGTTTGTCGTGTGGGCAGCTCACAGCAAGCTGGAGGGACCTTAGTGTGTGGCCCAGCGGGGACCGGGATAAACCCCACCGGCCCAGAGGGGAGGGAAAGCGGGACCCAAGTTGTCTGCAGGTCGAATAATGGGCAGAAGAGCGGCTGCGTCTTCCACCCGGTAGCAATTTACAGGCCGCAAGGAGCCCTCGTCCACACTCTGTCATCGGGTTTTCATACCAAGAGGTTGCCTATACACCCGTATGTTGAGAGGCATATTGTCTTTTTTGTGGCATTTAAAAGCCATTGAGGCTGAGGAGCTCCCTTAACCTGCGTCCTGTTCAGTCAGTTGCCAGGCCCAACCCCCATGTCCCGAAGAATCTTAATGGCAATCGGTTACTAGGACAATTAATCCTTAAAATGTCCGACAGAAGAAAAATTTTGAATATGTGTGTGGTAATGTTTCCTTATTAAGATAACTATTGAGAGAGGTTTTCTGGAGGATGGCATGGTATAGGACTACATTTTTTTTCATTTTTTCCGTTGTCATTTTTATCCTATGTGTGTGTGATAAAGGCCATGATGGTATGGGAAGCTGCTTGTAGTGGTGTGTGTTTGTGGAGACAGTGTACAATTGGAGGAGGCTGTGCGTGCTGTGTTTGGTGACATTGAGTGGTGTGCATGTATGTAGTTGCTGTAAATGGTGTGTTTATGGTAGCTGTGAGTGATGTGTGCATTTACTGTGAGTTGTGTGTATATTGGCTGTGGGTCAGGTATCAGCATGTAGTGTGTTTTACAAGAAAGTGCACTCACATTGGCCAGGATGATCTTTAAATTCGTTGTCATGTTTTAAATATGTGTTTCTATTGATTTATACAGTTAAGATGGGCTTGACGTCTCACTTGATCAGGGGTTGAGTACATGGGACTAAGTGGGCAGAGTCGAGTGCCCATCATCTTGAAACGTCAACAGGAACCAATGTTTGAACATCAAGATCAAATGTTGTTCTTATGATAGTAAATTTGCCCAAACTAAACCAAATGTATTAAAATTGAAAAAAACTTTTGCAGGACATTGCTTATTTGATCCAGTAATTTTTTAAACCTAAGGTGAACAGAGGGTCTGGTAAAATATTAATGCAGGTTCCTGAAGCATGAAAGTGTTTTGTAGTGCACAAAAAACATTAGTGGGGGCATTGCTAGTAGTCAGCAAAGATGGTGGCATAATTTTGAAGCCCTGCAGAACCACCTATTTAAAAGCTATCTCTAGCTATTATTTTTGTCTCAATGGACAAAGGTAGCAAGTCTATCTGTACCCATTCCACTCCAGGACCATGAAAAGTGCACCTGACTTCTTCTATTCAGAGTTACCTAGCAGGCAAGGACTAGCCATTGGCCATTGGACAAACAGGGCAAATGCCCAACAGGACATAATGACCGCAGGGCTGAGGCCGACGGGGGAAATCAGAGGATCTCCCATTTCAGCACATGCAGAGCCGACACTATCCAAGCGCTGGCCTTGCTCTGTGCCTTCAAAATCGTGGAGAGGGATCCATGGATGCAAAAAAAAGCATTTGACAGGGTAGACTGGGTCTTAGTAGGACTCACACTTGAGGCGATCAACTTTTTTCAACACTTCTTCGCATGGATCAATATTTTATACTCCATACTATGTCCATACTACTTCCCATTATTTCCTGTTGGTGCACAGCAAGGTGCCCCCCTGTCACTGCCTCTTTTTGCCCTGACTTTGGAGCTAATTCTGAACAGGGTTTGTGCTAACGACAGAGGGAATACAACTATAACTTTCCAGAATAGTTTAAGCCTACCAAACCATTTTTTCCTCTTGAAGGTGCATTAATAGGACTTAACCTGATTGCCCTCCCATGACTGCATGGACCACAGAGTGGTAAGCTGTTGGTTGATAACCTCTTTGGTTAGGGCAGCGTGGAGAAGATTGGAAGTAAAACATTTTTTTTTAACTTTTCTCTCCATCTGGCATAATCAAGAAGGCTCAAAAGCCTATCTGTACAACCTTCTAAGCATTTGAAATCCTACAGAGGGCATCTATATGATCTCTGATCTCTCAAATACTATTAGTCAACAGGTAAACACCATCAGATCCAGCCACCCTGTATTGCTCGACCTGACCAAGATCTGCAGATTACACTTTCAGAGGCAGATTTGCAAATAATGATTCTAAAACACAAATGTTCCTCCTCTTTGTGGAAACAGGAAAAACGCATGCAACATTTTTACTAGATGGTACCATATACTAAAAACATTACATGATTGCATTCCAGCTTCAACCAGTTGCTACGATATGCTTCATATTTACTGGCCTAAAGGGTTCAAGATTTCTGGACTGCTATGCACCATATCATTAGCAAACTTTTAGATGACTTGCCCCAATTTGAGCAAGCCACAATGTTCCTTTAATGATGTACCATTAATGATGTACAAAAAGAGCCTGCTAAACTGCGATTGGTTAGATAGTTTTATTGGCTGGAATACCTTTCTTCCCCAGAAGCCTGTCGTTTTTTGCAAAGCTGCAAGCAACCTTCCGGGACACATTCTAAGAAGGGGTCACAGGGATCGGATCACACAGCATTAATCCTTTGAAGTATCTAGGCTGCATGTAATGGCTTGTGGATGGCCTTCTGTGCTGGCTCTCCTAGTGTAGCTAAGTGATAGTGGCACACCTCTGTTTCCTTTCTCTCTTTTTATTTTTATTCTCTTCCTTTTTCTTTCAACTATTTTTTACTTTCTTTCTCCTCTCCTTTTTCCTCTTTAGTCCCCCCATCCTTTATTCTTTTTAAGTACTACTACTACTACTCTGGTGGATTTCTATTTTGCAATACGTATAAATTATGACTTAGTTGCGCTTACATTTTCCATTCATTTTCAATACTCAATAAAAGTATAAATTGCAATGAAAGTGATATTGCAATAGGATTGTGTTACCCTTTATTCCCAAAAATTGCATCACTGGCTTGTTGTAACACTCATTGTGTTGTTTATCTGTTCTGTTCATACAGGAATGTACCATTCCATATATTGTACTTATTATTGTACCTACCAGTACAATCTTGGTACACGTTGGCAATAATTTATCTTTGTAGTTGATCTCCATGTCTTGTTATACTACACATATCAACCTTATTAAAATGTATTTACCACAAAAGGCATTGACATCCTGTCTCTATATTGCAGCTGACAGCTGTTGTGTTTTTAAACTGAGTGCAGTGTACATACATCTGTATTAATAGTAACTAAGGTAGCAATACTTTGAACTGGAAAGCTCCAATTTACACACAACAATGTTGCTCCAGGAAATTAACTGGTAAACCACAAGGATGAAACTAAACCATTCTCTGAAATGAGGGTGGTGGTACAGTGGATGTGAGATTATTTGGAATATATATTTTACATTTGGAAGGTGGGATTGTCCCTTGTTCAATACTGACTGCAGTGTAATACTTTTACCATATTATGATAGTGGTTATTCACACACTTTGAAACAACTCTGTCCATCCAGGGAAGTATGTTTTTTGACATTAACAGAAGGTTATTTTTATTCAAGGGTAGCTACTTCTTATGAAGACCCCAAAACAGAGGTTCAGAATTGGGAAAATAATAAGTAAAAGCTAAATGGACAGTAAAAGCCTAGAGACTAGGCTTAAAGGGACACTATAGTCACCCAGACCACTTCAGCTCAATGAAGTGGTCTGGGTGCCAGGTCCCTCAGGTTTTAACCCTTCAGATGCAAACATAGCAGTTTCAGAGAAACTGCTATGTTTACATTTGGGGTTAAGCCATCCTCTAGTGGCTGTCTTCCGGACAGCCACTAGAGGCGCACATGCAATGCTGGAGGCATGTTATGCGTCCATCGCGCAGAGCGTCC